CTTATGCTTTGATAGATAATATAGGTAGAGGCAGGATCTAAACTAATATTTTTGGTGAACATTGGTGTAGGAAAAAATTGCTGAACTTGAAGCAACAGGTGCTATGCCAAAGCAAGCAGCACCTAATGATTCTTTAGGCCAAGTTTTGGGCAAAGAACATTCAGGTAGGATGCGTGGTATGGGGGCTGGTGTTGTTCTGTCTGAGTCCTTTGGTTCTAGCTCGTCTGAATATGTCGGAGAATCATCACATGCTGATTTTGGAAGTGAGCAAATTTTGTGGTCTAAGTTACAACAAAGCTTGAAGAAGAATGAGAAGTATGAAGAGTGGTTTGTCAAGATTTTTCAGCACATGAATGTCCCTATGCCATTGGAGCTGGCTATGTTAGTAGAACAAGTAAGTTGTTATTTTGAATGTAAGAACATTCAGAGGAAATTGTGAGTTTATGCCTTTTAACTGATTTTTCGTTGTATATTTTTCACTTTTCAGCATCCTCTTGACTCCACTGGTCAGCATTCTGGCCACTCTTCGACTAGCGGTCCGAGACAGCAGGAGTAGCACTCCTTAACAGGTACTACTGACTCAAGAAATTGAGGGAAAAAGGCTTTTTTCTTCTTAAATGAGTGCATTACGAAAGCAAGCTCAGCTTCTTCAACCATCCGAATAGCTTCAGTTTCGATACCACTCCAACCTAGGCAAAATGATCAGTGAAGACTAATCTCATGTTCGTTTTTCTCTTTCTGGTGTTTCAGGATTTTGTTCTTCATTCAACAAACCTCCTGTCATGAAAGGTTAGCATCTAGTTCTTGGATTTCGCTTATCTGAACCAAAATTTCGGCTGTTTCTTTTATGAGATCCTAGTCCTTAAGTTGTGCTAGGAATAAAGGGGTAGAAAAGGGTGATGCAGAAGTTGCAAGTTAATGAGAACTTAGTTTGAAATGATCTGTAATTATGGATTTGTGACTGGATCTTTGTTGTTGTTTTGTTGATTTACAGGGCTGCAAGTTGATGAAGGGCTGCAGGGGTAAACTCAGTTTTTAGTTTGAAATAGTATTGAACTTTAGATTGTAGGCTTTGAACTTTTGTAAGTGGTTTGACTGATTTACAATTCTGGATTTGAGGGATTTGATGGTACTTTTGTAAGGATTGATGGTTTGATTTACAATTCAAAGGGCTATGAATGGATTTACAATTCTTGATTTGTGATTATTAGAGTAGTGTATTGATGATTTGATGTTTAGAAAATGATTTGTGATCATTAGAGTACTCGAAAATCACAGCAGGCTAGGGCTGTTATTATTAGGGAAGGTGGCCCCTTAAAATACTGTAGCTTTTAGCGACGGTTTCTAACTTTTAGTGACGGTCGGATACTGTCGCTAAATAATTTTAACAATTGCAGGGTCATTTATTTGACGACGGTTGTCAGGAAAATTACGTCGGTTACCACCGTCGTTAAACTTTGGCGACGGTCAGGGCGACGGTCGACCAAAACCGTCGCTATAAAATTTAAGGACGGCGAGGTCAGCGACGGTTGGCTGTCCGTCATTAAATATTTTAGCGACGGTTTTGACCGTCGCTAAAAGTCCGTTTAACCGTCGCTAAATCACTGTTTTGTTGTAGTGAATGAAAGCCGATCGACTCATGATCATGAAATTTACACAGGTCCTTCGTACCATGTGCTTAAAATACAATGGTTAATATTATGAGTCGTGAGGATTTGAACATGTGAACTTAAGGACAAACAAGCACTGATACCATGTTATAAACCAACTAGTCTCAATAACTCGAGTTATTGCGAGAGGTCAACCTCTAATACCATGTCTCTCCTTGTCTAAGAGTTAGGTTCAATTTTAAAAGGCCGTCTCATACACAATTTCATCTTCTATATCTTTGCATCTAACTAATAAAGCAAAATATCATCATTCAAACTCTCTCTTTCTCGCTCTCTCTCTCTCTCTCTGGCAACTTGCCAAGAAGCATGGAGAAGAAATGTAAGGATGGGAAAAGAAGGCAAAAGAAGAGATTCAAAAGGCATCCCCACATTCCTTATCTTGATGGGTGATTATGATAGATATATATGCTCAAATCAATCAAACTACACATAGAAAAGAATTGTCCATTGTTACATGGTCGACCTCTCTCTCCTTTCCTAATGGGGTGGTGACTGGTGGGGTTAAAATGGATATTATAGGGGTTAAAATGGATATTATAGCGTAGAATTGAGGTTCCACATACACATAGACACACACACAAATATATATATATATATATAGATAGAGAGAGCACCCTCGATCTCTAACAGGTGTCACCACCCCATATCTTCTCTCCTTCCCCACTTGCATGGTTGCTTGCCATTCCATTGGCGAGGGAGCTCGATCGATCATCATGCTTTTTGAGATATGGCAAAAATGAAAAGAGGAGCAAATAAACGATATGTCACATGGGATTCATAGCTCCATACTATTCTTCTCCCTTTCACTATGGATGGTGGGTGGCCTAATTAGTAGTGGTGGTGCCAAATTTTTAAATTTCAAAACAAGGTTTACATCCTTAAAACGTCATGGACCTTTAATCTTACTATATATATATAAATGCTAAAAATAGGATGTTTGACCTTAGATCGTTGAATTCGATAATCAAATTCTTGTAATTGAACGGAAACGAGAAGGATATGTGAGCAAATTTGCTTATTGGCAACTCGATCATATTTCTACACGAGTAATCAATATAGGTATCAAGAACATATTGATGGAGTAAGATCAGCTAGGCAGTCAATATTAACATTATCTAGAAACTCAATCTCTATCTCAATCTTTTTAATAGCTCAAGAATTTTATAAGTTATCTTTTCTATGTTTCTATGAACTTGTGAGCTATTATTTTCATTGTTAAGTTTTACATAATTTATTAAGTGTTTGATGGAATATGTTGTAAATTTTTATTTCATTCATCATATATATTATTTTTTGCTTCCAACATTGATGGCCGTAGGATTCTAGATAATATGGAATTGAGGTAAGGGATCAGAATTTATAGAGATTTAGAGGCCGAGTTAGAAATTAGAATGAGAAAAACATAATTGAGAATTATGGATTTGACACAGGCTTTAGGGAAGAACATAGAAGAATGTGCAGCGGCCGTTGATAGGGAAGTGAGACGAGATTTAGAGGAGAGATTGTGAGATTAGGGATACTTTTCTGATTAATCTTCTTAATAATACCGTTAAAGGAAACCCAATGTACATATTTATAGGAAAAATAACTAAACCCCTAATATTTAATCACGTTCACTTGTCATTTTGTTTTTCATAATTGGTGCAACATAAAACAAATTAAAATGAAAATGAACCTGTCGTTTTCGAGAAACACAACATGAAAAAAATTGTTTAGTTAATAATTTAGTGAGTTCGAATTATGAAAATCAAAACTTGTTTAGTAATATGAGGTTTTATGACATAATACTATTTTTTCGGGGGCTATATTGGAAAGGGAGGTGCTTTTAGATTGTGGACTAGAACGAGTGTTCCCTTTAACTTTCCGCCTCTGGAACAGTAGTAGACTAGTAGTTAGCAGGAAAGAATATTGGAAAGCATGGAAGGAAGGACCCCAAAGGACAATCCCCCCAGCAAAAAAGCATATATGGATGAAAAAACTAAAAAGCATTGATCCAATTCTCATGCGCAATCACTTTAATTTGATCCAGATGTATAGATTCTTCAAGAAAATTCAATCCATTAAACAAGCCATTTGAAGGTTCAAACAACAATAAAATGTTCCATAATTTCATGTAAAACACATTCCCATTCCAATAATTAGAAGAGTTATTCGTAGACAGAGACCCAAAATAAATCATGCTATTGTGTCATGAAGTGTTTGAAATTTTGTGTTTAAAGATCAATGAGAATCCATGCATATTACACACGACCTCCAAATATATTAATTACAGGCATTCACCATAAGTTTCTCACTAAGCTCGTCGTATAGTGTGAGCTCGATTTTATGTTGCATGATTAATCGATTACCACTTAAGTATGCTATATAGTTCTATTAGAATTTAGTGCTAGTTTTTAGTTAACATTATGAGTCTCTAAATGTTGAAGGCCTCCACCACACAAGTGATCTACTAGCTAGTTAATATGTGTATAAAGTATAAACTAGCTTTTATTCGACCGTTGATCGGTTCAGTTTCATATTATTTCATATGATTTATTTTATCAATATATTTATATTTAAATGAATTGGGACCTTTAATTATTTATATATATTTGTGCATGCTTTGAAAGTAATATATGTGGTACATGTTGTTTGTGATATTATTGAATTGCTTTATAGGTATTTTTGTTGATTGGTTTTTGTTAGATTATGTGTCTCAGATTGAACAGATATTTATATATATTTTTCATATTTTAGAATATAATGTTCTCCTTTTAATGCTGTCATACATGATCAAAATTATTTATTCATAATATTTGCCACTATTAACTTGATTTTCGGTTACTAGAATGAAATTAAGACAATATGCAATGAAAACCACATTAGAAACTACAAGGAATTAGCCTGATGTTAATACGAAAGGATATTTGTGATTTTGGAATTTTGTAAATAATTTATTGACTATTTGAACATAATTTTTTCTGTTACTCTGTTGATTGTAAGGGGGTGGATAGGGTAGCCCTTAAGTGGTAGCCCTTACCATCATACTTACATATTCATTAAGAATATTATAGTATTTTAGCTCTTCTCCCTTCCCTTTCCCTTTCCCTTCTCCTTTTCACTTCCATTCACATTACTTTTCCCTGTTCTATTTACAAATTACAATTTTGATACCTGAACTTAATAAGTATTACTATTTAATACGTCTAACACAACTGACTAAACACATTCACAAAACTTGCATCCAACATCAACAATTATTACTTAACAGTAGTGTGATTTTTATTTATTGACTCATGTTATTATTTTCATTTTATTACACTTAAAAAATTAGATCACTTCTTTCTGGAATAGAATATACAGAGTTCATTGAACGACGACGATCAGTGGCAAAGCTACCTTAGTGGCGGGGGGGCTATAGCCCCCTCAACTCTCAAAATCATGTAAAATTACAGGTAAATTTTGTAATAAATTGACAAAATATAGTAGTTGATAAGGCGTTAGCTCCCTCGCCAGTTCGAATTCTCTGTGTGTAAATTTTTAGCCCTCCCTCATTCGAATTTTTGGCTCCACCACTGACGCTGATGAGAGTTTCGAATTTTGGCTCAACCACATGTTTTCGTAAACGAGTAGATTTGGTGTTAGGAACATAGATGAGAAAGATGCCTCATGTCATGATGATAAGTCCCGATGAAGATGAACATGCATATATTTTATAGATTCCATCTGGAATTCTCAAGCAAATATGGAAAGAAAGCATTTTGTTTGCGACGTGTACATGAAAGCAACCATTCCCTTTTGCCCAAACTTCCCCCATATAGATAGATAGATAGATAGATAGATATTTTACTAGTCCTTGTACGAATATTGAACTACTAAGCCCCAACTAGCTGGATACTTCATTATTGATCGCAATTTGTGTTTACAGCTAATACAATATGCCATAATGTTGGCCATTTTTGGCAAGATGGTACCTAGCTAGTCTTAGATACCCAATCTAACTAGTTGGGTTTGTTGGACTTGTTTTTATAGCTACTTTGTAGTTTACACTGATAAACACCGCAAGTATAGTACTTTTGCATGGTGGTTGATTTCAACCTCACATTCTACCATTATAAAAACCTGGCAGATGATCAATGGTGAAGTTAGGTTAAAGTTAGAAGGGGTTGTAGTTTTCATATTTTTGAAATATGGGTAAAATTACATGTAAATTTTTTACAAATTAATAAAGTAGAACAGTCGGAAAGGTTTTAACAACAACCGCTGTTAATGTAATTGTGAATAGGCCCTTCTCCCCAATTATGCCAATTCAAGTCAATCACACTTATTCATATTTTTTATACAAGGTTGCATCCTCATTATCGATCCCGTAACACCAAGGTAAACGTAAAGAGAAAATACCCTGATTATCAATCTCAACAATGGGTACATAGAGTCAACCTTAAATAGCCAATCTGACTATGGTTAACCAAAGGAGACAACTTGAAGTGGGTATACTAGAGTTTTTATTTTCAAAAGTATCCCACAAGACAAGATGGGAGAGAGCAAGATACGAAATATAAGTACAAGACCTTTGCAGGTCAAATCATAAAAGATAAATAAGGAAGAAACGTGGGACGATCCAACGAAAAAGGGCTTTTTTGTCACGATATGGACAACCCTAATATACTTAGGCATTGACTAGAATCCATGTCTGTACTTCAACCCTTTTTAAGGCAGAAGTGATGGACCAAACTCCTGTAGCTGTCAAGTGATCGCAATACAGCAAATCCTACAAATGTAATGACTAGAATCTGAACTCCTACGTCTTGCTTCACCTGCAAAATGAAGAAACACATTATACGCTGCACAACAACCAAATTTGCGCAAAGGGAAAAACCGGAGCCACAAATAGAAGTGAAGGCAAGTAATATTGATCTACACTTGACCATTGAGTCAAGCCCTGCAAAATGAACAAACTGGCCTGCAAAATTAGCAACTAACAATACTGCCCATACAAGGGCTTTCCGAGGATCGGAGCTAAGAAATAGTAGGCCTGTGAGCCACTAGCCAACTCAGCATTGGCAGGCCTATTGATTGATTAGGTGGGTATACTAGAGTTTGTTTCTACTTGTAGTATAGTATATACACTTTGCCCTATCGTGGTCAACAAGTCACAAGTGGTCAACACCCCAAGTATAGTTAAGATGGTGCGGTAGTTGAGTAGTCAATAGAGGTGGCAATTTCAATCCAATTCACCAATTCGATCCATCAATCAGTTAAAAATATTCACCTAATCCAATCCATTTAAATCCAATCCATTTTATCCAAATCCAATTGGATTGATGGATTCATGGATTGGATCCATGGATCATTGGCAAATTACGGTTTAGTACCTATAATTTTTATTTTTTACATTTTGGTACCTAAAATTTAATTTTTTATACGAAAAATATCATTGTAAAATTAAGTTTTGGTACCTAAAATTTTTCATTATGAAATTTTAGTACCTAAAGTTTTTACATATTGGTCCTTGGTTGAGGATATCATTTGGATTCATGGATAATCCACCAATCCACTTGATCCAATCCATGAATCCACCAATCCATTAGATCCAATCCATTTAATCCATGGATCCACCAATCCAATCCATCAATCCACCAATCCAATCCATTTACCACCTCTAGTAGTCAATATTATTGATGGCGATGTGTTTACAGCTAATTAATATTATATCTGGTAACTGTATTTATGGCAGGATGGGATGGGTATGTAGAGCCCTAATACAATAAAAATAAAATAAATAACACGTATAGAAGATGCGGCGCTTATGTGGACGATAATTGGTAACATGTCATTAAGAGTCAAATATATTTTGACTTCCGGTAAGTCAAACTGTTAAGTTTAATGGTCAACGAAAAATTCAGAACACAAATGGCGTTAACCCTAATAGGTTGGAATATTAATGCAACCATTAAAGTTACATTATACAATTTGCTTAAAGTTGGTATTTTTAGTGATATTTTTGGTGATTCCTCACAAATGCCCCTCCACAATTTAGTGGCGGCTCTATAGTGGCTGAGGTGGCAAAAACCCAATATACACTCCTGTGTATATGACTATATGTTGATGTTGATGATCCCATAACAGTCTATTTATGTCAATCTAACTAACCATGATGAAGGAGACCATTTGAGTTGGATACCTAGGGGATTTGCTTGTTTCTATTAGGCATTGCAATGAGTTTGGTTAAGTCGAATTTTTCCAAACTCTTCATCCTTAAATAAATAAATAAAATAACCATTGAGTTTTAAAAAGAAATTCCATTATTCACAGGTGTATAGGTGTGCATGAGGTTATGGACATCACCGTAAATAAATTCTTCACAACACCCACTTTTTTATATTATCAATTTTTTTTCATGAATATCTTTATAAAAATATATATAAAAGTATTAATAACATTAATAAAATATTCATATTAGTAGGATTATATTACTTAAAGACTAATATATAACTTCTATAAATTATAATATAAATAAGGATAAGATACAAAACTATAGGTGCATGCAGGGTGGAAGGCAACCCGAGTATGGGCAAGACTCGCACCGAACTCCTACCCGTAAATTTCAAAAAAAAAAAAAAAGAGTAAAATCCACACCCGATTCAAACCTCGTTGAGATTGAATTTTACGATTTGACCGAATTAGATCATATTGGACATTCACAGTCACAGATTAGGGTTAAACTAACATCCCAATAGACCACGGATTCTACAATGGTAACAAAATGATCAAGCCAAAAGGTTGCCCCCTCTCTAGTCTCTACGTACCATGTAGCTAGTTACAAGGTAATCGGCACAGTCAGTCTAGCATGGTCAGGTCACTCACCATGCCACCCAGGGGCGGAACTAGCTTAGTCCTCGGGGAGGCCCCGGCCCCCCTGAGAATTTTGGAGTTCACGCATAAACGGTTGGGTATTTTACGTATAAATATTAAAACCTATATAAATAAGTTGAGAGTGCACGAAAATAACAAACCAGCTTACTTAGTCTAGCGGTTTTAAAGTTGTTAAACAAGCTAGAGATTGTGTGTTCGATACCTTCTGGTAGCTAGTAGCCACGACATTTTTTGGGAGCGGAAGCATTTTTATAGTTTCATAACTGTTTTGAACTATATTTCATATAAAAGTTTTTATTTAACATATTTCTTAACTGTTCTGTCTTTTGAATTCTTTTAATTTTTTAAAACTAACTAGAGTTTCCCTTTTCATTTGACAAAACAAGTAAATTAAATAATTTACTTTCATTTTTAGTTTGTTAAGTCCTTAAATTCCAATTAGAATAAAATTCTTCAATTTGAAGGATTGTTTTCTAATAAAAGATAATTTTTTCAATACTAATTTTGAGAGACATCAATTTTTTAGTTATGAAAATATAATTTTCTATACAATATTAACATTCATTGTTACTTTTTATAGCTTTGTAATTTGTATTGAACTGAATGTGAAAACATTGTTAGTATAACTTCTATGTTGAGTTATCTTAATCATGTCAAACAAGATCCTGTGCAATTACAGAATTATAAAATTTAAAAATTATAATGTCATACAAATAAAATAAGAATTTTTAATATCTCACAAATTTTTATACGATTAGTATAATATAATTTTTAAACTTTTTTAGATTTTTTGCGATAACATAGTAAGAAAAACTCGGCCTCCCCGAGTCTCAAATCCTGGCTCCGCCCTTGATGCCACCAAGACATCAACCATATATCACTACCCCTTGTTAGCTGAATTATAAATGTGTTGGTAACACTGAAAATTTACTCAACTGTTCGCTCTCTAAGAAAGAATCTTTTACAACCAATTATAGGTAATATAATCAAATAATTCAATATGCTTAAACTACAACCCAAAAACTCGTAGCTACGAACATAATTCTACGTACATACTGATGACTATGATCCTACGAAAACCACCTGACCATCGGCGTAACAAAACCCGAGGTAGTACCCTTGGCATGTCTACACAAGGTGGCCGCCTTCTTATTACCACGGCCACCGCCGCCGACGTAGGTAAGCTTCACGTCGTGCATCTTAATCTCCGTGCAAGGGTTTGTCCTGCTGCAGTCGAACCTCACCGCGACCTTGCTCCGCGACGTGCCGGCTACGCTCTTGTACCTGATGTCCTTCACCTTGATCCCAGAGGCCTTGCTGGGGCAGTTCTTGTTTCCGGGGCAGTAGTTCTGGTCGACGACGATGGGGTTCTTAACGCCGTCCATGACGACGTGGTGAAAAAGAACGTTCCTCACAAAACCCAAGCTGGGCCGGGCCCAAGTCTTGATGCGGAGCCCGTTGGTTGTCTCCTTGAAGTGGACCCTCTTAACCGTAACATTCTCCACACCGGGCTCCTGGAACCTCCAGCCCAGGCTCCCTATGCTAATGCCGTGGCCCGGCCCACACCCCACCCACTCGATCCACACGTTGCGGGCCCCCGGGCCCATGGATACGCAGTCGTCGCCCGTGGAGATGGTGGAGTTGAGGACCGTGACGAAGCTGGATTTGGCGACGTGGATGCCGTCGGTGTTGGGGCTGTTCCCCGGGGCGTGGACGGTGATGTGCTGGAGCTTCACATTCTGGCTGCCGGTGACGGCGATGTGGAACTTCTGGCTGTTGACGGAGGTCAGCCCGTCGACCGCCACGTTGTTTGAGTTGGTGATGTGCAAATTCCTAGCGCCGACGGGGCAGTCCTTCCTTCCGTGAAGCTTGCATGACCAGAGTCCGGTACCTTGTCCGTCAAGTATCCCGCCAGAGATCCTGACGCCGTCGACCTCGTTGAACCGAATCCAGTTCCCGGCATTCCCGATGACGGAGTAGTCGGACGGAGCTACTAGGGTTCCGTCTATATGCACCGTGATGTCGTTGCTCTTGCACGGCCCTTCAAACTCTATGTCTCGGAGGTGAAACTTCCCATGGGGTACGTAGACAGTGGAAGGGTTTGGGTCGCTGCATGCCTTGTTCCATGCTTCCGAAAACGCTGTCGTCGAGTCTGTTCTTGGGTCCGCCCTAGCTCCGTAGTCCGTCAGGCGGTATACCGACGGCCGCGAGGCAGAGGCGGGTGATGCCGCGGCGAGGAAGAGGACGACGGCGAGGAAGAGCGACGAGAAGTACTTCACCATCGTTTTCACGTAAGAGGGAGGGAGCGAGTGAGGTAATGGATAGGCTGAAAATTTGAAGTTGCGGAGACGGGATAGCTAGCGGTACTATATATTTATAGCTGACTGATGATAGCACTTACCATTAACCAATAAGGACAAGGAGATACATAACTAGAAACCGCAAAGGACGAGGAAAATAATTAAACTCGTACGATGCTCTTTGTGTTTCCTTATATGGTTAGGGTTAGTAAAAGGAAATAATGAGCGATTCAAAACAATTATTCGGATATGTTCTCTTTTGTGATCTATACTCGTTAGCTTGTAGGAGATAAACGAGATCACTCTAAGTGTATCTAGAATATATATATATATTTTTTATAATCACATGCATCTATATATTATTTAATGGGCCGCAGAGTCTTTGGCCAAAGTGTGTAGCAAGAATATAGGTGGTCTGAGAATCCAAGACTCTTGGGCTTCCCAGTGTATCTGGAATATCAGCCGAGATACAAGAAATCAACTGATCGATGTTGTCCAAATCTTAGGATTTAGGGTTCTCCCTCTCTGTATAAGAGGTTCGAATGAATAAAGAAAGGTGGAGAATCATATTGAGAAAAAGGAACTGAGTTTCTGGCTTGTTCGATTCTAAAACCAACGCTTATCTTTCCGTTGTAAAAAGTGGTGTGCAACCAGCTGGTTCTCAATCCCGGGATGGAGGGAGAAAGCATAGGTATAGCTCCAAAAAGGTTCCATGTATGTATGTCATTCATTCCTCTTAATCAGGTGTGTATGTGTTGGTTAATTGGTAACGGGGAGTTTTAGTTTAAAATCTATGCTTTCTACTTCAAGTACTTGGGGCTGTATGGATAAATAGTTTTAGTTTGATTAGATTTGAAGATGCTGGATAATGAGCTTGGGAATCGATTAATCACAATCCAACCCACTCTGCCACAAAAGCTTGTGGCAATTAAATCTTTCTTTCCTCTTTCAGCTTCTTATGGCGTTGAAATAATGTTCTGAGGTCATGCGAATTATGAACTCTGAATTTGGGTTTTTCGCTCAGGATGGCAATGCGGTAGGGCGGGCGGGTACCTCAATATTCATGCTCTGTTCCACGTTATTATGGGTCAGGGTGGATAATACCCGAGAGGGTATGAAGCCAGGCGGGTCGACCCACTCTTACATGTTATTTAAAAAGAATACACACAAAATTTTACTTTTTTACGATAATTAAACTAAGGGGTAAAACACTTTATGAATGAAAAATTTTATAAAAATTGATAATTGAGTCTAACTAGTTGGAAGATCGAGTCCGACTAGTTGAAGTAAAGTCAAAATAGGAGAAATATGAATATATACAGTAAAAAATTGAGACAGAATGGGTCAAGAACGAGACAGGGCGGGACGAGATTGGTCGAAAGTATATATACATGTCCGGCCCCACGCTACGGAAGATCGGGTATTTCCTGCCCCATCACGAGTCAAATCAGATAATACCCACACGGCGAATGCAAATTACCATCACTACCGCTTGTTACAATCATGCCCTATAACTTTAAGGTAACTTAGCCAAATGCCCTCTCTTGCCAGCAGGTAAATCAGTCTTCAATGACTTGTACTTCTTTTTTACTTACAGTTCTTCTCTAATAAACTTTGTTGCTTGTTCATTATTTGCGAAGTTATACGTAAGGGCTTGCTCAAAGGTAAATCGTTTCGTAAAGCTTGATATTTGTTCATTGCTTGTAAAGCTCTAGTAGCCTTTAGAAGTGGTGTTATGAGTTGTGATAGTTGTGGAATGGACTACCTACTGCATTATGAGTGGATCTAATTACTTAATTTGATATTCAGTTACTAATTTGATGAAACCTGTCTTGTTTCATTGTGCCAGGCTATTGCGTATTTAGTGCCTAGAAGAATATCGAGGAATCGTTTTAAGAATTGAAGGTACAATTTCAGTATAGGCCAACAAAAACTTATGTGTTTTTTTTAATAAGGGTAATATAGGTTCTTACCTTTTTGTGATTAAGGTACTAGTTAAAGGATTCGAACCTAATACCTCCAGGGGTCGTTTGGATCCAGTAATTTGGACAGAGATTTGGCCCAAATCTTGGCCCGTCCAAGAATTTAAAACATTCTCCCGTTTGGATAGCTAAAAAAGAGGGCGAGATTTGGGCCATCAGAATTTTGAAATCCGGCCCAGTCCGGAATTAGAAATAGCAGCTAACCCCTAGCTATTTTAAAATTCGGCCCCAATTTATTTTTATTTTTTTGGCTTTTTCACATTGTGTCCCTAACTCATCTCCTTTCTCCTCTTCCCCGTCCACCACCATATCCACCTCCACCGCCGTCCCCAGCTCATTTCCTTTCACCACTTCAGCATGCTTGCACCGCTCATGGATCCCATTAACTATCCCTTCAGTAATCCTAGCTTTCCCGACTTTCAATTTCCTCTTCTCGACAATCCCAATCGTCGTCAGCCGTCGCTCGGACAGCGGCAAGTTGAGCTCGGCCAGAGTGGGTACCTTTCCCTTCCCTCTTTCCTCCTTCATCTTCTCCCATGACGAACTTTCCCTTGGCGTCGACGATTTCCTTGAGGATGAGGTTGTGCATGACGGAGAAAGATCCCAAAGAGGGGCCGTTTGATCCCAATGGTGACAACGCTCACACCTGAATTCCTTTCTCTTTGCATAGCTTCATCTCCTTCTGTTGCCATCCTGTGTTCATTTCCACATGCAAAGTTGAGATTAATTAAGTGAACACTAATAAGTCTTTGTTTATGCTAATTGGTTGCGTCGTGTACTTTTTCAGGGGGTACTCCAGCTAAGATCTAGAGTGTGACCCACTTGGTGCTTGGGCAAGCCATTGGGCGGAGGGATTAAGATTTCGCATGTATTGGAACTAAAATTCATCGTTTTCCATTCCGAACCAGAGGAGGATGAGTCGTTCTCGAAGAAGACAACCAAGCGGAGCTTGTCAACGATGCGCTGGATGGCGGTTTCGGGGGAGGGTTCGGGACTGGGGAGACGGCAGGACCAGCGAGTTGTACCATGGCGCTCTGGTTCTTCCTCTCTTCCGGCGGATCTGGTAACCGGCAACAAGAACCTAGATTGGGAAAGTGAGGGCGGTGATGGTTGTCTCCATCGAGAGGAGGAAGAGAAGTGGGGTTAGGTGCAAAATGTGTTGAAAAGGGTAGATTCATAATTTGATATGTGTCAATAAAAAAGAATTTCTTATTAATGAAATTCTTATCCGTAAACAAACAAATATTTAAATTGCCCAAATCCCTTGTTTAAAATCTCTGATTTTTTAAAAGAGGGAATTAAGTCTAAATCCCTTGTTTAAACATTTTCCCATCCAAACGACCCTCACTTCTAGACTAGTGATATTACGATTAGGCCAAACCCTTTTTCGTAACTTTATGGGTTGTTTTTATAGGCTTTGTTTATTGTGCTAGAAACATGGCTTAGGCTGAGTTGTATGGGGAAGGGCTCGGTCCTAGTGGTTAGTCTGGTAGTATTTTGTTATTTGCCAATGACTATTTACTAGGAGAACATGCATTCTCATTTTCAGATTAAACAAAGAGTTATTATCAGATTCCAAATTCCAAATCTCTCTACTCTTCTCTATTCTTCCCCGATTTCTTTCCCAAATCTTATCAATTCTCAATCCCTAATTCTCATTCTCTCTTCAATCTCTCTCGGTTCTTCTCCAACTATCAGTGTTTCTTACATATTGTAATATTACATACTATATTATGGTGTATACACATATTTTTTCCTTATTATTTAGATATAAGAATGGATTTTTTTCGTGTTGTGCTGTGGTTATTAGTTTGTAATGTGTAGTCCTTATAGAGTTAATTTTGACACTTAAAGGATATAGGTCATCTGTTGTGATTCAAAGACAAATTGTCCTTCACCTAAGCATAACTTAAAGGATCACTATGTGATCTTTTACTATATTAGGATAGACAGTTAGACATAATATATATGTTGTCCCGAATAAATTACATAGCCTACTATTTGTTATCTCCAAAGATATAAGATATATACACCATTTTCTCGGGAAATAGTTCTTTGAAGAAAACACGTTTTGGCGTAAAACAACTATTTGGGGACGATTTTATGTCTTTTTTTTTGTCATAGAAATCTTGGTAGATTTACAAGGCAAGGATAAGGGTAGCCACAATAACCGGCACACTCACTTATCAAAAGACATATAAAACAAATAAGAGAAGTCGAATAACAATGAAGGTAATCCAGAAAAGCGTAGGGCATGTTGCGCCACTAAATGGGCAGCCCGACTCGCCTCTCGAGGAGTAAATTGTAAAACAACATTTGGTAATTGTACTAGTAACGCATGAACCTCCGAAAAAATTGCGCCAGCACGTGCATCTGATAAATTACCCGACACCAGCTTGTCAATGACCACTTGGGCATCTCCCGTAAGTAAAACATCCCGATCATGCCAATGCCACCGTTGCAGCAAATATAGTGCCTCCCGTATAGCGAGCAACTCAACCAAGCCAGGATCCGACACTCCTCGAATAAAAGACCCAAAAGCAAAAGTCGGAACAACGCCTGTAAGACCAACAATACCAATGGCTCCAGAGTGATGGGGAGAAGTTGCTCCATCAACCGCCAAACGAAGGCCTTGAAAACCACCAGTAATAACTGCTGAAGAAGCCATATTGCGTGACGACGAAGGAGGCTGAGGAGCCGGAGAGACAATGGCAAGACGGTTGGAGTCGCGATGGGAAAGGAATTGACGACGGAGAACAGGGACGGTGAATTGAGCATAAGGAGAGAACACAACATTATTACGCCCTTTCCAAAGACGCCAACAGAGAAGAAGCCAATCAGAGATGATATCCGGGGCAACATGGCATAATAAACTTCGCCACAATAGAGCGAAATGGTAAGAAGGATCAAAACCCAGCGGTAGGGAAATGCCAATTGCATCACGAAGACGAATAGCCACAGGACAACGAATAAACAGATGTTCAAGAGACTCTCCTTCATCAGATTCGCAAATTGGACAAAAAGATGGAACATCAAGACCATGTCGCTGTAAATCCTCTCG